AAGGCGGATAGCAGAAGGCATTAAAAAGGTGAAAAGGTAATGCGCACATGCGTCTGGCCGTCGAAAAAAAATATAACTACAATTAACACAACACTTGGCCGCCATATATACATAGATGCCAATATTCGTTTATTCGTTACAGATCTCATATATATAGATAGATAATCAGTGTGCACTTGAGAGCACGGACCTCGTAGAAGCGCCTCGCTTAGCGGACCTAAAGAAATCCAGCGGCCGTACATTTGTCGCTTTACGTCCTACTAAGCGGACGTAAACAACAAACTTTACTGTCGGGGATGACGAAAATTATAATTTTTAGCGATTTTTTCCGTGTCCAAGTACTGAGTATAGGAACATTCCTATGTTATTAAAGGAATCTGTTTTTGGACAGCACTGTTACATGCTTCGCATTAAGAACATTTTTTTTTTATATAAAAACGAAAAAGAGTTTTAAAGATAAATTTTTTTATCAGGCATTATTATGCATGGATGGATTATAAATAAATTTTTTTTCCTGTTTGAAAACGTCTTCTATTCGAAAATGTTAATTATATTGGACTGTCCAACTACTGTTGCTATTTTCATTTCTGTCTAACTGCTGGATACTTTACCTTATGTGTAGGTTAATGGTGTGTACATATAGTATGTAACTACCAAGTCAGGTACCGAGGTAACATTTAACTAGTGTAACTACATACTTTATTGGTATATAGCTTTTTGCCATGCGTCAATGTCTATGCTGTAAACTGTGTACAGTGCATGTCACAGTATTACTGTATAAGTGTACAGCATAGAGGTATAAGAATAAAGGAGAAAAGGGGGCGTGATATGTGACAGCAGAATTCGCTACGTAACGGGGCATCTGTCTTTGTCTGGCAGTTATGTTATTGGTTGAGTTCTACATGAGATTAAATCAACTGTAGGATTTAGGACGAAGAAGTAGCCATTAACTTGGCTTTGATGGAAACATGGACAGATGCCCCGTTACACTTAGTTATACTGTCGCTGCTAATAATGGGCTAGTATAGCGCTTTTCCCCTCTATTCTTATACCTCTATGGTGTACAGTGTATATTCAATAGTACAATTTACTCATGCAAGCTTAACTGCGACGATTTGTGGTGTATATGTACGTGACTAGTGAGTCACTAGTAGTGACTAAGCTCCTATAACCTGTATTACCGTACACATACGTACACATATGTGTAAACATTTGCAATTTACTGTCGTCACGTCGTCACTCTTCGTTATCAGATCTTGTAGAGACACTAGAGACATGTATGATGTAAACAGTGCCTACTTATTTATTTGCGTAGACCATTGTCCACGCAAAATTTTTTTCTTGGCTTAGTAACACTGACAAATGTGACGACGAAACTACTGTTAATAATTTTTAATTAAATTATGCTTTATAATATCTTTTCATTCTTCGTCAATTTTCAATTACAAAATTCGTGTGCATGTTAGTTTGAAAAATGTATAATTTAAAATTGAATAAGAGATCTCAAATCCTTTCAAAGTTTCTAGTAAAAATATCAATTTTTATCTACGCTGAAATCAGTTGTAAATTACATCTTTGATTTTTAATGAATNAAAAAATCGTAATAACACTTACTTTTACGTAAGTATTTAGGATTTCTGCTAAATAATTAATTTAATTATTTACAAATTGCATGTCAAAGACTCCAAATGCATTTATTAAAAAATGAGCCTCCGTCGGACCTAATTTCGTAAATTGTCTAAGTTCTTTTATAAATTTTTTCTCATTTCTCAGTATCTGTTGTAGTAAAATTTAAAACGAATATTTTCATGACAAATCGCATAATTTTCAGGGATTCTAGTTTAAGGAATACCTGTATTATCGAGTAATAAACTTTAAAATTCATTACTTGAAATAAGTATAACGAAGAGATATGCATGTTATCATATGTATTATCACGATCCACATAATTATATGAATGCCGTCAGTTTAGATTACTTATTTAAAAAACAGTAAGTAATTTCGATAGCTACTAATTCATTTCAGAACTCATATAAAAATATAATTCATAGTTTCAAGTTTTTACTTCTGTCGGCAGTTCCATGACTGCACTCTGGTTTTTAGTAGACTTAGGATTCGTCATCAGCGACCCCCAAGTAACGGTTTCCAAAGTAAAATTTTGAATTTAAAAAATTTTTCATTACTTTGACTATCGAGGATGACTTGGAAGTGGAAAAACTACCTAAATTCTCTGATTTTTTATAGTGAGGCAGATGTGAGTGGTGATAAATATTTCTGAGGACCTACAGAAAAAACATTTAAAAACGGTGCTTGTTGCTAACTCTTCCACATTTTACAGTATCTTTCAGCTTATTTACGACACACTCAACGTTACCACAGCCGTCTTAAAAACTCTTTCACATTATTTGCAGACCCTTATTTTATTCGTAGTTGATTTACCAAAAGCTATAATAAATATTTCTAAAATTTTAATGCGTACCGCTCAATTTGTGTAGTAAAATTGAGTGCAAGTTTTCTGGTCTATGATTTATACAAATCAAAAATGACTGATTATATTATACTACATTTTATTCATGAAGAACTAAAAAAAGATTGAACACTTATGTAATTCAAAATGTATCAACACTTCTAAACGTACATGTTTGACAACGTAATGTTATATAAATTGTTTTAATTGGACTGACATTACCAACAAAAATTTTTAATTCCCATTACCTGTTTAACACCTCATACTAAACATTAATGTAGTTTATTACATTATCATCTAATTAAATTGGATTATTTATTTTACGTTGGCCTTTGTAATAATCATCTACGACACATGAATTTACTAAAGGGCATGTATAAAATTAGTAATAAGATATTTTGGCATGAATATACTTACCCCAAAAATATATTTATTTATCTCGTATTACTGACATTTAAATTCTTTTCACCTTGACGATGAAAAATAAAAACTGATTGATCCACTTGTTTTCAAGCTCTTGGTTAATTTATTACTGTTCTAGAGAAAAATTTTTAGTGCACCAAGGTATGTTAAATATACTGGCAAAAATTTAAGGCTTACATATTTACATAAAATCATCTGCAACTTTAGTTGATTACAATAACGATTGCTTGTATCCTAAGTAATTTAATAGTTAAATGTATATTTTCGTTAAAGTTAGTATTTTTTGTGTATCTTGAACCAAATCAGTAAAATATGTGACAGTTTTATTCAAATAAACCAATCGTAGAGGTGCAATTATGTCCAAAAAATATTGGTCTGAAATCCTTACTATTTAAAATCGTTTGTATTAAAAATAAAAAAAATGTATCCAAACATCCCAAAATATTAAAGAATAATGTTCTAGTATAAATTTTTTCGTGACGTCACTGCCACTCATTTTATAGTAATAAAGCTTTTTCAAACTAAAACTTGATTGAAAATTGATACGAACAGCTCAAAAGCACCCTGTAAGGCGTTTGCTTTTCTATTTAGCTAATCAATGTTTCATAAAACAAAAATTGTTAACGTTTAAAATAATATACGTCTAGATTTTTTTAATGTATTGACTGCTGCTACTATTTTTTGCCACGTCGTATTAACTTATCATCATGCAGTTGATGCGCTGCAGCTTAGAAACCAGGCTCAAACAGTGATGAACCTGGAAAAATTATTCGCACCCATTTTTTTTGTGCTTTCTTGTTCAAAATATAGTAATGGACCTAAAAGTTCATCTTGCCGCCCAAGACTGTGGTCAGGTATTGTTTCAACAATTTTTTTGAAACCAATTTCGTCAAAGTTGTTTTTTCGACCTGAAAAAAAAAATTCTCAGATTTTTTTGCACATTAAGAACAAAAAACCAGTTGGAATGTACATACCTAAACCCCAAAGTTTTCGAGTAAAAAATTCCCAAATTTTCAAAAAATAAATTTTTTCTGGGCTCCACGAAAGTGTTAAATAAACTCATTTTCATATGTTACAACACATAATCATAAACTGTAAACAATCTCCAAAAAAGAAAATGTCGAAAAGTTGAGTAGCAACATTGTTTTTTGCAATAAACGTTCAGGGCGTTTCAGAGCACGATCACATGGGAGTGTATACTAATATATAAGTTTCGTGGCTCAGCGTGTAGTGAACATATACAGGTATACACTCACGTGGGAGGGCCCTCTGAAAGGCCCTAAACGTTTAGTGTAAAAAACAATCTTGCCACTCAACTTTTCGACATTTTTTTTTTAGAGATTGTAGAGGAAAGCCTACAGCTTATAATTATGTGTTGTAACATATAAAAATAAGTTTTTTTAACAATGTCGTGGAGCTCTGAATATCGGAGAAAATGCATTTTTTGAAACTTTGAGAATTTTTTACTCGAAAACTGTGGGGCTTAGATATATACATCCCAGTTACTTTTTTATTACAAATATGCCAAATAATCTGAGAATATTTTTTTCAGGTCGAAAAAATAACTTTGACGAAATTGTGACCAATACCTGACCACATTTTTGGGTGGCAAGATGAACTCTTAGGTACATTACTATGTTTTGAACAAGAAAGGACAAAAAAAATTGGGTGCGAACAATTTTTCCCAGTTCATCACTGTTTGAGGCCGGTCTATTAGCATTGGAAAATTTTTGTTAAATAAAATAACTATTTATTAGTTTTATCTTGGATACGTATTTAAATGAACTTACTGAATATTTATTTTATTTTTTGTTTTTTATCGCATAACATAATCCTTTTTTTTCTTAATTAAAAATAATAAACCGAATATGTTCCCCAAAACGTATAAATATCTCGTTGTTTGATTTGACTATATTTTTCTCGGTGCTTGTATTCTTATAAACATACGTTTGGTTACATTATTGATGTTCAAAATTTCAGTAGTAGAAAGCAGAACAGAGCAGTGATTCGAAAACTGGATCGATCATTTTCAATTTTATTGTACTCCCATTCCTCTAAGTAATTTACTGTGTTCTTGTCATAAAACTTTGCTACGGGATCTTTGTCGTAGGGCGAAAAGAAGAGAGAAGGTAGCTCAACAACAAGTGGCAATAGTGCACCAAACGAAATCATCACGTGCACCAACTGCGGCCCAAATCCGTGCACGCACACTACGACCAATGGCTGCACCACCGAGNATTTAAATGAACTTACTGAATATTTATTTTATTTAAATAATATATACATATATATATATGTAATTATATTGATAGCCAAACACCTACTATATGTGTGTTGGCCGTTCTTCGTATTTTTTTAAGCATGTTTCAAAAGGTTAGTTTCTATTATCACCAGAGCCAAAAGTGTAACCCCGTAAAAAAAATATGATGAAAGTCATACAATTTTTTCGTGTACTAAGGACGTTCATCTCAGTTAACAGAGGGCAAACTAGAGAGCAGTGAGGCGATTAGTAAATATTTGGCAGTACCGGAAACTATTTTACATGGACAAGTATAAAAAAGTGTTAATATAAATACATTTGAATCTTTTCTTTTCATTTTATTGCAAATACAACTTGTCAATTCCTTTGAAAATTAGAAACAATATTTGTTTTTTGGTATTGCATTATGAAAAAAAAAAAAAATTGGACAAATTCCACAAACAAATTTTTTCTAAATTCAATTTTTATGTGACTCCTCCATAAATTTACATGTTAAATTAGAATTTTTCAAAAATTAGTGGTGTGGAACTGTCTCGAATTTTACATGTTACTTTCTAACATCATTACAAACATTTTTTCCATATTTCAAGAAGATCCTACAAAAAATACTATGTGAGATGAACGTTCTTAATATATTAACAATAAGTAGAGAAGACTAATATAGCCAAAGTAAATCTACAATTACACTTCAGACTTCCAAATACAAGAATTAAATAAATATTTTCATTAAACAACCCACTTAAAGTTTTACACACTTCGTCATTCAATTTTTTTAGAAGGCTATTGACGTTTTATATAAGATATTAAATTTTACTTGACACCTCGATTTCACTCTAATACCGTGAATATAGTACATTTTTAAATACAAATACTAGAACGGAATTAAGTTTAAGTATCATTTAATAGGATAGCATTGCACACTCTCAGAGTTTGAAATTTATGAATGTTATGATCAATTCGAGAAATGAAAAAGTAGGTGTACTAATAATATGATTAATATCTTTCTCAATGTACCATCTGTATTGAACAATGAATTATGGAATCTTGAGTCACATTTATGTAAACGCTTACCAGTATATTTTTTATAGCTTAAACAAATAAAAAAAAGGTAAACCATGAAAAGTGTTTCTATTAAATTTGATGGATTTATTAGGTAGTAAGACAGAGGTTATGGTTAGCTTAGGTACCTAAGTATGGAATTATACTTCTATAGCAAGCAATATATAAATGTAGATGTATGGGATAAGCAGGGTAGTTATCCCAAGCTTAAGGATACGGAAGGTGAGGATACGTTGCGAAATGAAGACTCTCGCGAGTATAGGCAATATTAGCTTTTATTCTTAGAAAATAGTACAAGCAGTTTGTGCTGTTGATTAAATGGGTGTGGGTCTCTTTCAAATCCTCAGCGCAAACTCTCTCGACGAACGCCTTAGTACGCCACACTTCGGTGGCTGAACGGATGGTAGTCGTTGGAGTGCCCAGTGATGGCGCCACTGAACGTTACTGCTGCGTAGACTTGGCGCGGAACTATATGTTGCTTGCGCGGTCTTCGTGTGTTTCCTACGTTCTATGACGGAGGGGCCACAGATGTACCTTTCACGAAAAAACATTTAAAATATAACTTAACCTACTGCGATGCATTGAGTGTGTACAGTGCAATTATCATTGGAATAAGGATATTTGATAGTTAAGTGTGGTTTAAATAAGTCATTAATGGTTATTTAATTCTCGCAAATGAACACTTAAAGGATGGATTACTTCATGAAAAACTAACTTTTAATCTGAAGTACAAGGTAAGGCGAGTTTGATGTGTTTTGTATATCTATCCAAAAGAGAATCATAACTACAAAACAAGCATCCTAATGTAGTGGTACATATACTATAGTAGTTATTTTAATAGTAGACACTACAATAATTCCAAGTTTCTTTTAAACATATACAATATTTTCAAGGCTACATATTTCAAAGTATTTCACGAAACAAAAGATTTAAAAAAAAACAAGGTGAAGTAAAAAAGTCGAGTTTTTTGCTATATCGAAGTGCTGTTATTCTCCAAAAATAATTGAATAACAAAATAAATATCCTTTTTTAAAATATGTGAGTAAAAAAAAATTTTACAAAATAAAATTAGTGATTTACAAAGTCATAAGATGAATTATGAAGTATTGTCAAGTTTGTTAACATGTTCAAGATATTTTATTTACTGAAAATAATTAAATTATAAAATAAATATCCTTACTGAAATATTCAAACAAATACGAAATTTTACAAAACAAAATTTAAGATTTACAAAACAATGAGATTAATAAAAAGTAGTATACTTTTTAAAAATCATCGTAAATCNATTTATTTATTTTATTTTATTTTGCAAAATTCTTAAATACCTTATATATAACTAACCAGGATGGCTTTACATTGTTTTTGACGTGTATTACAAATTGCAGAAAATCCTGACTACTTTTAGAAAAAGTTTATAAACTGTTTAATTGCACTAACTAGAATTTTTAAAGTATTTTGTCTGTAAATAAGAAGGTAATAAATTTAATGGTTACAATATGAGTTAAGATATAATATTATACATTAGTTGAGAACATTAAAGTTTGGAATAACTTATACATAATCTGTAACACTAATTGTATGAATTCATGACCTAGTTAAATTAAAATGAAAAATTTTATTGCCTGAAGCATAAACACATACAGATGTAAAAAATACTTGAAGGCTGTAGAAATTATTAGTACTAAGAAGCTAAGTGCTAAAATATTAGCACGTAAATTAGTTTCTGATGAATTGTACGTAAACAGTTGAATCATATTTTTTTACCTAAACTTGATGTCAATTGGTCGATAAAAAACAGTATGAAGTTGGCACCGCAATTGATGTATTTATAACAGATTAAATAATTTTTCAAAATATTGACATATTGTGATCTATAATAAATTATTTTAATTACCTCAAATTAAATTCATCCTTCTTAAAAATTGCAATGACTGTAATAAGGACTCACAATGATTTTAAAAAACTTAGACACTTTTTGGTTATCTCATTACTTTGTTGATCTTTAATCTTTTATTTTATTTGCTAAGGTATTTCAATAAAAATATGTATTGTAAAATTTCATCATTTAAAGTCAATGAGAATTTTTTAACATGTTAACGATCTCAACAAAATTTAATAATTTATCTTATTACTTTGTAAATATTTCACTTCGTTTCATAAAATTTTTTTTACTTACATATTGTAATGAAGATATTTATTTTGATATTCAATTATTTTTGGAATAACACCAATTTGATGTAACAACAAACTTGACTTTTTCTGTTGATCTTGTTACTTTTACAATCTTTTATTTCGTTTAATATTTTAGAATAAGTAACATTAGAAATATTATGTATGTTTAAAAAGAAGCACTTGGAATTATTGTAGTTTACTCTATTAAAATAACCACTACTGTATGTACTAGTATATTAAAATATTAGCTTTGTAGTTATGATTCTTCTTTGAATAGGTATTCAAAATATATCAAAATCAACATATTTCTTAATGGAGATTTTACTTTTAGTCAAACTGTTATAATAAAAGTTGAACAGGGAGGCTTATAAAATTCATAAATAATTGTTTTTGATATCCTACTTCTACAAGTGCGCTCTGCGCTAAAGAGTAAGCCAACCATTTAAAGTTCGAAATCTTGAGAAAATATGTAACGGTAGTTAATTTTACATGTTACTTTTCCATTGCCCAGCCTAGGTGGACTAAAATTTCTAAAGGGTTTTGTCTCACTTATCCTCCACAACATGAAACTCCCTCTTTTTAGGTGGAGTAGTTCCTCGTGCAGCCAATGGATGGGCAGAAGCTATGGCTTTTTCGCATTTTTTCTGCTTGCGCTGCTTGAGTTTTTGCGCGCTATTTGAGATTCTGAGCTCTGCAATGTGCATAAGGCTGCATATACATATAGAATCTTGAACTTTCAGGACCACCCATATGCTTGTGCTAGTGCAAAAAAGAGAGCATATGTTCTTGCTTCTCACTCGCACTCACACGGGCTTATGGCTGGTCCTAGAAGATCAAGACTCCATGTATACACAGCCTAAGTCACCTGCAGTACTGATTTACGCGCGCTGTTTGAATGTGCAAAAATGTGTGCAGCATTTGCACGTAGAAGTTACATGCATATACACTTTTTTTGCGTAAGCGAGCGCGTTGCATTATAATGTAGGATGTGGAATGGTACGAAAATATTTCTTAATTATTTGACGTTTTATTTTGTTAAATCTGGTCATATTAATTAAAGAATAAGTACTTTCACAAATCTCAACTTGCAAAGCACACATGGTTTACAAAATGATTTTGTTAAACATCTCATTTTTGAAATTCATAAGAATATGCATAGGGCAGAAAGTTTTTATTACATGCCGCGAGTAACCAACCACGTTGTAGCCACTCATCTACATAGACTTTAGCTTTTGTCATTCAAAGTGTTCATATGCTGCATAATATGCACAGCTATCTTGCTTTAATGACTTGACTAATGTACTACTGATAAACCATTTTTGGAGTGAAAATTTCTTTAGGCGCGTTGGACGATTTTAGATGGGAAAAAACTCTTGGTTTCGTGTCTGATCGCTTTCATTCAAAAGCAAGGCAATCCCTGCAGTCACGTGTGAGCTTGAGATAATGAAATAGTGGCGATGTGGGCTTAAGAAGAGGTGGAGCCCGCTCTGTATTAGCCGGTGGTAGAGAAGGAGAGAGTATCGCAAAAAGATTCACACAGTGTAGGACAGTGCAGTCGACACCTTAATACCTCGTGCACATTTGCCTCGTAAAATGGCGTGTACTGCACGGTATTTTTACGTGTAGGCACGTCTACCATCTGTGTATACTACACAGTCTGTAGAGCTGCACTCACACGCTCTTTTGACCTGCGTGCACGGCATCTTCGGGTGTAAAGAGAAGTAGTCGTCCTTGCGTTGAGCAAATATACCTATAATAAATATGATGACTTTCAAATCAGTGTATGGTAAATAAGTAACTCAGTACTGTTATTGATAATTTTCTTATTAAATACAAATAAAAAGTAAAAATTATTATTGATAATAAATATACAATCAGTAAGTGTTGGCATGTACGACTTTTCAATAGGCAGTATATATAGTGTGAAAGACAGCGCCACAGGCAAGGTGATACTTGCGGGCCTTGTAGTCAGTACAGTGTAAGCCACCGTGCCTTCTACACCTCTCGTCGGTTCTAGCTTTATTGTCTTTGTCTGATAAGTCGGTTGTAAGTCTGTAAAGTCTGT